TCGTTCGAGTAGGAAAGACGATCCAGCCGAGCACGGAGAAAAGCACGGTCCGCATCCTTTTTGGCAAATAACGCAGCAGACACAGCTGAATCATGCTGAATCTACTTATAGACGCCACCGAGAGAGATCTTAGGGTACTCGGTCCGTAGATGTACGTAGTATAGTTACAATACTATAAAGATCCTATGTATATATGGATCGTGAGAAGCCAAAAGCAACGTCCAAATCCTCCAACCGGATACTCGTCGCTTTATGTCGCCGTCGCTTTCGGCTTCTCCATTGGATGGTTCCGCCAGGCTTCTCCAGCACGACGCTGGACTCCAATAGCTCTGGCTACCAGGATGCAGTGCTCTTCGACGCAGCTCACCATGCACACTTCGATGCTGGGCGAAATTCGACACGGCAAAAAGAGGAGAGGAGGGAGATGTTGGAACATGTGACTGAGTATCTCCAGAATCGAAGCATTGTTCCTTTGGTCGTTCGCCTTTCTGGGGAACATGTTGGGAAGTTTGGGTCCGTCTTAGCGAATTCTGAGGCTGTTTTGTGGCAACATGATGATCACAATAAAAGGAAAACACTGTTTCAGCTCTCCAATAATTTTGGATCTCCGTTTTTCAGCTGACAAACCATGTTTCAGCACGGGAGTCCTGTGTTTTTTGTTTTGCACCGGTTCTCTCACTTGCTAGCTGACCTTGTTGAAAGAACGAAAAATGATTGAGAGGATGACCCTGCCTACTCTGGCGGTTCCATCAATTGGGTGTAGAGATGCCTGAACATGCCTGAACCACATCAAGAACCAGTGGGTTTGACAGGGTCCGCCACAATGAATGAATTAAGCATTAAATTGAACAGTGAACTACATAAGTTTTTGTGCACTATCTGCCATCCGCATTTGTGAGGGCCCCCTTCCCGTTGATATGATTGAAACATGTGGTCAAAGAAGCCACTGCCAAGCCACTCACTGATTTTTTATGTTTTTTTGACGATTACTATATTATGATTTTTTGACGGTTTCTATATTCCTCCAAAAGTTGAAGAAAGGGAGCCTGGTTTAGCTTGGATCCTTCTTTGAGGCAACAGTCCCAAGTCCCAATAACCCACATGCAATTTATCCGTTGTTGGGCTTGTTGCCACCCTGACTTTGGTGGACCCCATTCCAGCAACTGTCAATTTGTAGCTTTGACGACTCGATTTTTCACCAAGGTCCTGACCGACCATATACCTCAAACAAGTTTTCAACAATTGGTATCTAAGACTCCATCTAAAGGTTGTTTTGACGACCTCGATTGTCTATTGGCTTTTCATCGACGAATAAGACATATCCACGGAAAGAGCAATTATTTCTTTGCAAAGCCCATCCCAGCTGCCACTCAGGACTGGGTCCTGCTTTTGGCGGCAGCCATGACGATGTGGCACTGCTAGTTGGCGAGAGAAACCTGGGGAAAATCATAAGTTTTCTTCGGGCGATTTTCAAGATGAAGATCCTTTGTCGAACAGCCCCATTGATCATTCAATAGAGAGACAGCCTCAATGATTCCATTCCACCTGAGATCTATATAATCTGTTCAATCTCGAACTAGTTTGGAGCATTGTCCAGTTCAACTCAGGAATGTGGAATCGGAGGGCCTTTGTTGCATCCTCCTTTGTAGGCCCACTGACTTATACATCTTGTTTGGCTGGACATGGGAGTTTCATGGATTTTCCCCAGACTGATTCGGCATGTCTAACATCAGTGCAACTTTTAAACGATGGCGTGCCAAGCGGAGATCCCCCCGATGGAGTTAAAGATAGTGGAACTAGATGGTGGATGATGGTGGCCTTCCACACGCGAAAGGCTCTGAGGGGAGCCTCCGCGGTTCGGCTTCAGCCCCACTTTTGGACGCTGTGAGTTTGAAGGACTCGGACAGCGAGTCAGGCCATTTTGGATGAGTCAAGCCTGTTCAAAGGCGACTCCGCGGTGGTCCAGGCAGTAGGAGTTGGGAGAAAACCATGCAACAAAAAGATCAAACAAGCTATTCGATGCTGACTGATGTGTATGTGTGGGCCTTTACCAGTGTCGCTTGCATGTGGTGTTCTTTTGCCTTTCAGGACGGACATGGATATCTGATACGAGCTGGTGTTGGATGGAGCCAATTGCTGTCTACGGCACACGTCAAAAATGATCCCCAGGCTTGCTGTTGCCAGATGGTTTGTCTCAAAACAGACCCCCCGGCCACACCCCGGGCAGCCGGGCGGACACGGAACACCACCCTCCCCCAGCGTGAAACTCTTGGGTGGGACATCCTTCGTTCATGACTTGGGCCATCCGCGTTCTTCCACGGGTTGCGATGTCCGGCGCTGGGGATCCAAGCGGCCAAAAACGCTGACTGGTGCGTCTCGCAGGGAATGAGGGTGGCTGGATCCAATCGAATCTCTATTGGGGGCGAAACTTCCCTTATTCCCTACTTTCGTCGCACCAGTCAGAACGAATGGATTTCGGCATCACAATCCCTGATCTTCGGCCTGAAACAAAGCAGGTCCAGATCCATGGGGTGGTCGGCGATGCAAGGGCAGCAGTGGCGGCCTTCGCGTGTCCGAAGGCCGCCCCATGAGATGGTGGGATGGTCAAATGTGAGTTGGGATGGTCATGAGATGGTCAAATGCATGAGATGGTGAGATGGTGCAGAACTGGCTGAGCGACTTAGCGAAGTAACAGACCTTCAGAGTTCGGCATCACGGGGCCGACTCCGCCCAGCAAAGCCGACTCCGCCCGGTGGTCTGCGATTCCCGCTGTTTTAAGCCTCCGGCATGGTCAAACGACCGCCGTGAGGTGTAGTGACACAGTTTTCATGAGACCCTGAGGGTGATGGAAGGAGATGAGATGCTGAAGAAGGTCAATGGTTCACACCAAGGCTTCTCTTGAAGGCTTGAAGGTTTTTGATGTTTTTTTTCCGATACTTTGGAAAATACCGGAGTCTGAAAGTAACCAAGCGGACATGGGGTTTGAAGATGCAACTGCAACCCCATTGATCACCAGTGTTTAGTACCTTTTTCGAGCTTCATTCGAGCTGCAGGGGATAGCTGTCATTCGTCAAGTGGGGGATGAGGACAGCTGTAGTTGTTTCCCATAAGACCCACATGGAACCGTCAGAGAAGGTGATGCCATTTCGTTTGCCAGGACAGTAAGGGCTCAGTTTCTATGTTTGGCTTTGGGACTTGGGCTTCGCCAAAAGGGGGCCCCAGTAACAAGAAGCTACCAGGGTGGAGGCTAATTACTACTAGGAGCAAGGACGCTATTAGGTGGAGGCCATCGCAAGTAGGTTGGAGGCCATCGCTACTAATATCAAATAGTATCAAGCATCATCTCCGGCCCAACGGGTCGGCGGTTCCGCCGACACCTGCACGGGCAGGGGGTCGGCCGAAAAGGCCCATCTGAAGACACCGTCGACGGCGATACAGGACAACGCTGCGGCTGTACAGTGTGATGGGCGATGTCATGGCAGTCGCTGAGCACTACAGAATCCAAGGGACTAAGGAATGGGAAGGACATCGATGGAACCACAGCCCACACTATAGAGGGTGTGGAAGATAATTCTTGAGTACATGTAGATTGTCGTGGTGCTGCTGCGAAAGAGTCAGGGAAGCTGAGGACACTTGAAAAGTGAGGGACTCTTGAAGCATGATCACGCTCGTAACCGTATCCGCATTTATCTACCAGCCCAGCAGGTTCCATTACATGGAGGGTCTCGAATGACCTTACAAGTGGAATCAAGACCCGACCCACCTACATAACCCCCAGCACATCCTAGACTTTTGTTCCTGATGTTCCTGGTGCGGCTCAGATCGCCCATTTGCCCTGTTTGTCCCCTCTTTGCATCTGCGGTGAAGCCGCGATGTCCAGAGTGGCCCCCAACGTTTGATCGTTTGGTGAACACCTACGGCCAACGGTTCGTTTGGTCATTCTTGGGCAGAAAAGGGGGCCACTTGGATTTTGGAGCCCTATCGCCCGCTCTTCGTGCAAGTTCAGCATGGGCCTCATGGGCGAGGTGGGCCGGCTGGGGATCGGCCCGGCTCGCCGGGCAGTGTCAGTGTCCTATTCGAAGTCCAAGTCCTTCTCTTTCAATATCCTTTAATGGAATCTCTTTGTTCATATTGGTCCCTTAATCACTAACAGATTAACTCCCAGAGACAGATGGGCCCCTTCTTGTCCTGGTTTTTTTTTGCAGATGCTGATGTGAACTAAGGGGTGCTCGCTAAGAACATTTCAGAAAATGGCTTGTATATGTTTCCACGAAGGCGACACCAGAGCACTGCTACAAATGGGCCCTTCAAACCTAGAGGAGCCAAGACTGGTCTGGCAGGTTTTACTCCATTTGTCCTTCCACAGTGGAGCTCCGGATGGCACCCTACTTTTGGTCCGCAGCTTGTTGGTTTGAGACTCCCGGAAGCTTCGAGTCGCCACTCCCCAGTCGCCACCGACTTCGTCCAAACCTGAATTCGGGCCGTTTGGGTTCCCGCCCATGGGGTAACCACGGCGGGGTTGCCGCAGACGAACCCGTTCTCGCATGCGCGGTCTGCGCCCGGGCACTCCATGGCGGAGTTGGACATTTGGAGGGTTGGCTCCCAGGAAAAATGGGGTGCCCGTGGGGGGCTCCAGAGGAGCACCCCACCCAGCTCGAGATGTAAAGGAGCGTTTCAGAAAAGGCGTGCGAAGTGACACCGGCACATCATGCGGTTGTGCGTTTGTGTTCATAGCTTGGCGGTTGGTGTTCTTGGTTTTGGGGCACATAGGTAGTGCACCCACATGTACCACGTGGATGTAGATATACGTGGTTGTGATGAAAGGGAACCAAGTGCACAGGGACAAACAATGAAACCCACCTCATTGTAAAGACCTGGGCCACCAATGAAACACATCCAGCCCACGCAGAGATTTTGCCCACGCACCCTTCGAATCCCCAAGTGAGCATCCATGAACCCTAGATGTTGCGCCGAAGCCAGGGCTTCTCACCCGATTTGAGGCGCCAAAGGTGGTCATCTACACTGCAGCCATCAATGCTTTGTCGAACAGCCAGCTACTCTGGCAGCAGATTCTGAGGGTTCCAAACATTATAAATGCATAATAAATAATATTACTGTAATAGATCTAATAATCTATTGTAACTATATAATTGTTCAAATACTAACTATTATTGATATGTTGTGATCTAGGCTATGCCTATCAGCCCCAATCATCCATCAATCATCCAAATTTACATACTACAGTAACATGAGGCAACCTATGCCACTTTCATGCTACTCATTCGATCCGATTCTCATGCTGGACCAGCTGCCCATCCGCTTTCTATACAATCCGTTTCTTTACTGTATGTTTCTTTCTTTTTCCTTACTTTGTCCTTCAGGGCCTCCACTGTCCTATCATTTGCCTCTCTTCCATTGATTCATATTGATTCTCTTCAATGGGCAACTTGTGGATCTCCCCCGTGGCCACCAGGCAGCGCTTACAAGCGCTCCAGCGCTTCGCGCAGCTGCGCCGGCGCCTGCGCCGCACGCGTTCGTCGCGCGCGCTGGACGAACGCGCCTTTGGGGCAGCTATGGGCGCGTGCGAGAGCTGGGTGCGCAGGGGGCAGGGGAGAGGTTGGGAATGAGTGAGATGGGCGATTCAGTGATAGGCAGATGTGCGTTTTGTGTATAAATATTATATACCATGTTTTCTTCATTTTTGCGGGTTGACATGTTCGTTTTGAGGTCGTGCATGGATGGCTGTTTCTTTATGTGCAGTGCTGATCGGCAACTGGAAATATAAGATACATCCAGGGAGGTTGGTTGTCATTCGTTGTGGGGCCCCTCAACTTGAGACAACCCCAAACTAGTACTGTAAGTTCAGATAGGTCTTAGGTATCTTACTTGCAGGGATGTTTAGATCAAAAGCGGGTGCTGGGAAGCATAGGGGGATAGAATGGGTGAAGCAGTTAAGGTGTCCAAACACGGCGATGAATGGGAAGATGAGCCAATGTTCGAAAGACAGGCGTTTTGTTCATGTCGCCTGGGCAAGGTTCTTCCTTTCTACGCTGATTGGAAGGCAACCCCTTTGGTGTCCTCTAAAGATTTCCTCGACAAAGGTGGCATGTTTCCACTTCCATAGTGGCCGGAAAGAGAATGAGAGAGACAGAGAGGTGCCGGCCAAAATGGGCCTCCTCCCGGTGCAGTAGGCACGCGCCCACAGCTACCTGTCCGAGATGGGCACGATGGCAGTGGAAGTGACCGCCTTCACGGTCAACGCTGCCGCTCAGCACGCCCTGACCACCCAACTCCACCAAGTACTGTACAAGTGTTGTATACTAGCTTCGGACAGTAGTACAGTACACTAGCTTTGGTACAGTACTAGCCACCTATACTATACGGTACAAGTGCTAAAAACATTCGTGACTAGTGGGGTGACTAGTTTAGTGACTATCGTGTGGTTTTCACTCCGAATCCCCTGTGTTCTTCACGCTGTACGGAGAAGTTCTTCCAAGGCTTTGAGCCGCTGCCGCGACGAGACCGGCGGCGACGGCTGGCGGCCGGCGCTGCGGTGCTTCCGCTGGGCGCGGGGGCAGGGCGTGCAGTGCACGGAGGCCCACGGGTGGCGGGGAGGCGCGGGGGGGGGGAGCGTAATTGGCTTGTTGGACGTTCTTGTTCTCGCGGTTGTTGTTCTGGAGAACGCGTCTCATCTCCCAACAGAAACTCCTTGTGTTCCTTTGCAACCAGCCATCTTCTTTCCCTTATAAGATGTGGCACCGATCAATTTTCTTGGGTAGCCTCTCGTCCCTGGCTGGTACCACCAGGTGACCTTCAACAGCTTGGTGTCTTTGAGCCGCTGGCAGCAGGGCGAGCTGCTGCTCGGCAGCGCTCGACACGCCGCGCTTCAGCCAGAGCTTATCGGAGACCTGGGCCAAAAAGGGACTTGCGAGAACGTGCAGTGGCAATCCTCCAGCAGAGCTGGAAGTGTCCCCACATGTCCCCCCCAGTGGAGCCTCATCATGTTGAACTGGTGCTGCTTGGGATGAGGAGCCTCCAGCTGGTGCCTTCAGCAATCCCTGGTTTGAATACACTGAGGATCCAATTCATTGATCAGCTCCACTGCTTCGGATGGCCAGTGGGAGCGGTAGAGGCCTCAGCTGTGGGGGAGCTGCTGCCCGGATGTTCCACCCAATGGACTTGGACCTTAGGAGGCTAGAATATGAGCTCAAGAGTCTTGACATAGACACCCGCTCACACGCCAATCCCAATGTCACAGCGACCTTCACCTCCACCACGACTGGGAACCTCACGATTCAGACAGCAAGTAGAGAAGATCGCACAAACATACCCGTACTCGTACGAATTTCCTTTAAAAAATCAACTGTTTCTGAGACTGTTTCTTGAGACTGGGGTAGTTGATTTTGTAATATCGGCTTGAAATTGGCCCTTGCCTGCGTCCTGGGGGGTTTGATTTTGTAAAGCTTTTCAGATTGGCGAACCTGGGGCGGTTGATTCTGTGGACACTTTCCTTAAAAAATCAACCACCCCCACATACAGCTGAAATTCGAAGGGGGATGCACAAACCAAGTTTCGTCAGATTGGACTGGATTTGGACCGATCCTTCAACCCCCGCGGAGCTGTGGCGATCCGCGTCTTCGGTCCACCCCCACGATCCAACCGGGGATCGCAAGTCTAGCTTTGGGATGTGTGCAGCAGGGGCTAGAGGAGCCTTAAGATATATGATGACATGCTAGGCTCCTCCGGACTGTTAGGACGGCGACTCCCCGCTGCCAGCAAATCAACATCGAGTCCAGGACTTGCGATACTGGGTTGACATTCTTCTTTAGGGAAGGTCACCTTTTCGGAGGCTTTCTGCTGCATTTCCAGGTCCATCCTTTGATGTATCACACCTTGTTGTTTGTTTTTTCCATGTTTTACCATTGTTTCGGGGGGGGCAAGGCAAGACCCCCTACAACAACGGTCCCGATGGTCCCCACGGTCCGTCGCCAGCCGAGCGCTGCCCGGGGAGCGCCCAGGAGCTTGGAGCGCTTGGCATCCCTGCGGCCTCAGAGGCTGGAGGACCCAGGGGAGCCCCGTCCCAGCGCGTTCCACCCAGGGAACTCCTGGAAACATTCGATGGTGGACCTGGCAAGGTGGATGGTGTTGGTTGCAAGAGGACAGAAGGAAGAGCAAACAGGGGGTGAACTCCACTTCCATGTTAGTTCCAGGGCATGTAGACAGTGTAGACATGACCATGATTCCCTTGAAGCATCTTTTTTTGGCGGGCAGGTGCAAGGGGGAATTGCTCCTGAGATCGGCTTTGGTTGAGCGGAGCAGGCCATGCTTTCCGTCAAAAAGTGTAAACACGGGTGCTAAAACATCACTACAAAGAACGTTCTATGTAGGGTATACGGGAGGCCACGTGGCCTCTAACTCCACGAGGAGTGTTTGTTTAACGTTGAGTAACCGAACAAACCGAACTGAAAAAAAAGCCGATCATACGAACGATGAGTAACCGATTCTCCCAATCTCTTTGAGCGGGGCCTATCGCGAAGACGAATCGGGTGAAGGTTGCAGCCGAATCTGGTGACGGTGAACTCTTGCTTGGCCGCAGATAGCGAGCTAGCAGGCTGGTCCAACGCCATCCACCGGCTTAGCAAGGCCAGGGAATTAATGGGAGACTGAGCGGGTAGAGATGCACAGCCTTGCACAGCCTAATGATGGATATAATATAGATGATATATATATATATATTACCCCCCCCTGAAGGGTGTGTTCAACTAAAAAGGGAGGTGTGCCCAAATGGGTCACAATGCCCGAGCCAGGTGCATCGGCCAAACTCAGAGTGAAGGAAGACGCCACGCAGATGTGGCATATATACTATAGTCCCAGGTGAGTTGGGAGTATTCGAACACACACCCCAAAATCCGTTGGACTACCTCATTTGCCGAAAGCCTATTTTTGGCGGAGACCACAGGAGATGATAGAATTGGCCACAAGGACCTAACTCATGGGCTGAAAGAGCTTTGCTGATGCCAGCATATGCCGGGGGTTGCTCGTTCATGGCTAGGGACTATATTTTATTTCGTTTTGATTGACATTCAGCACATAGTCCTATCTCATCGGCTGATCGCTATCACTGACGGCTACGGTACGCCCACGGTATAGCACATGAGATGGGTTGCATGTTTTTTTGGTAGGAGGATCTCATCTGCGCATTCTTTTTGTACCCTATTTTGTGACCTATCTCATTTGTCCGTCCTGTTATTTTGGAGCTGTCGTAAAGTCCTAACTCACTTCCGGGTAGTATAATATATAGATGGTGTAACGCCAGAGGCATTAGTAGTGGCAGCTCCCTGAGCAAATACGAGGAAGTAGGGAAAAGATGGGAAAAGCAGAAACGACATCGGATTGCAGGCGCAAGTTTGTTGCGTTGGGCTGCCCCAAGGCCGCTACGAGTGGCATTCTCCCAGATTCTGTGAGCTGTCTCGCTGTCTTGCAGAGCCTCCGCCGGGACGACAGCCGCTGGTGCTGCTTGAGAGGTCATTGATGTAATGCATTTGCTGGACCGGACCTGAAGTGAAAGGAATGGATGTAGATCACCGGCTGATCAATTGCCCTCCGACTTGCTAACATCGAAGTGGACAACGGGCCCCCTGAAAGACCATTTTCCTCATCCTCTACAAACTTCCATGTGAGTGAGTCGGAGTGCATGTCTCACTCCAAAACCACTCGAACCTCGAGCCTGGAGAAGGAAGGCAGTCCCCATGTATGTCCCGAGGATGGCGCCAGGCGGTCGGCTTGCTGCACGGAGTCTCCGCAGGCTTGCTGCAACTGAGTCGAAGCTTGGCTCCGGGACGGGGCTCGCGAATCGGTCAAGGCGAGCGGTGGTTGATATGGATGGTGTGCCGTTCTTGGCCGCAAGGAAAAGAGTCTTGAGGAGGAGGCACTCCAGTTCTGGGGCATTTAGGGTGTAGGCTTTCCTGAAAGGGTAGATTTTAGAGATGAATTCACATCATATAAATTCCAAGACATGGTTCGAAAGGGGATTCGCACCTAATTGGCGAGGCAGCAAAAAATGAACACTGAACCTGGTCACCTATCTACTGAACTCTACACAGGGTCGCACTTGCCGCTGTTTCTCTACACTTGGGATTCCCCACCCTCAAGTAGGGTACGGCGTGTCTTCTTAAACCAAGACAACCTCAGAGTGGGTCGGGCGCTGGATGGACCCCCCCGGGCCGGTCGGGCACCCGCACGAAGGCCATGTCTACAAGTGTGCCAGCACGGTTTGCCAGAGCCCCTGGGCCGCACGGGTGGGTCAAAGCGACCAGAGGAACAGGTGGGAGTGACCAAGTACCATGGTTCAGGTGAGTGAATTGCTTTGATTTCTTTGGGTTTGGGAGGGTCTAGCGGCTAAAGCGCACACCTGGAAATCATCATGGGGCCCGTGGATGGCATGGCCATGCATGACCCCAGAAAAATGACCATGTTCATCTATGTAACAAGATCATACAAGATCAAACAAGTGGTTTTCTACTTCCATCATTATTTCAGGGCCTGGAGTGTTATCGTGGAAAACGGTGGAGCTCCAATTGTAAGCCCACCCTGATGCACTCCCTTGTGCTCCCAAGTCTTCTCCAAGCTTTGTCTTCGAGGGAGGGAGGCAAGGTGGAGCACATTTGCTGATTCCTTCTTATGCCACGATTCCCCTATACTGCAATTGAACCTGCCAGCTGGTATAGAAGTAAAAACATCGGCAACAGGGCCAAATGCCCGACACGGCCTACAGACATCTCCATGGGTCAACGCCTTCCTTGCCAGAAAAGCCCCCTTGCCAAACCATGGTAGGGCGCATTTTGCTTCAGACTCCAACTGGAAGTTTTGTTTGTTCCCAACCAACTCGGCCGAGGTGCAAGTACCTGGCAAGCCTTACTGGGCCTTGATTTGGTGGTTCCTCGGTTCGGTCGTGAAGCTGCGGAGCGCGCAGGGATGCTTCAACGAACGGATGGGTCCCGTGGTGTTTCTGGTCCGATTTCGAAGAGAGAATCAGTTCGAAGCAGTCCGGGAAGGGCCGGGCCATGGAAATCCTGAGTTGAGCACTTTGTTGGGACCCCATTTCAATAGAAGGACCTTCCTGTGAAACGCGAGCGCACAAGAGCGCAAGCACAGCAACCACCCACCTTGAGCTCTAGCTCAGGCAAAAAAAGACCCTGGCTGAGGCGGGCAGCTGGGACCAGAGCTGTCGCTTGCTGTACCTGGCTGGCCGAGGCCGAGGCATGGGGGTGATTCACCGAAACAGGGGAGGTCTCGGTCGTGGCTGGGGAGTCATTGGTTTTCACCATTAGCTTGGTGAACCGTCTATCCATGGGTCCCTTTGCAGATCATGTTTGAGTGCGACAGCTTTATTTTGATTTTGATTGGGGGGTGCCAATCAGGCACTCATGCGGGCCCGGGCCTGGTTCGCGCTCGCCGAAGACATCGGATCTGGATGTTCTCGCTTCAGCCACCTGCACCTGGGATTTCTGAAAGGGATGCAGTGTATGTGAGGGTGCCCATCCGACCAGGTGTTTGTTTGAACAGTTCGCAGACATTAAGTGGGGTCCTCACTCATATGGATTGACCAGTCATCAACCCGACGTGCAACTCCGTTCTGGCGACGCAAGAGCCAGGTCTGGAAGTGGACCAAGTGGCGGCCAACAAAGCTGCCAGCCTTTGCGTCCGAGAGGGGCAATGGATGGAGCAGATGAATCTTGTAGCCACCTGGCAGTTGCCGGAGCAAACAACCCCCGAAAGCCATGTTGGGCCATGGTTTTGCACTGTTTTGCAGTTTCCGCGCGGACAACCCGCAGAGTTTATGGGGGGCTTTCTGCCTCAAGTCATTTCCCTCTTTGGGTGCAGCCAGGTGGTTTTGAGGGACTCGGTAGGTAGCCACCGACTGGAAGGTTAGATGGTTGACATGGGCTGACAAAATCTCACAAACTACACCAGATTCAGATGGCACAACTGTCAGGTATTGGTTTAGTCACGGCCCCCTTGGAATTCAATTGGTGCGAACATACATGTGAGTGGGCACATTCATGCATTGCCCAGGTGTCATGGCCCTAATAGTTTTTACTTTACAACATCGCAATGTTTGTGGCTCGCCACGCTTGAGACGCACCCGCATCAAGATGTCTTTGGAGTCACCACATTCCAAGCGCGACAACCACGCAGGATGTTCAGAATAGATAAGGAGAAAGCACATCTATATACCCTCAAATCATGGATGAAACAACGGCTTGATATATACTTTGTGTGGAGAGAGGCGGATAGAACAAGAGAGGGAGGGAGGGAGAGAGAGAGAGAGAGAGAGAGCCACAGAAAGACAAAGGACACGAGATCATGCTGAGAGGCCTGCCAAATTTTCTTTAGCTTGCATTGAGGCTCGGTTCTCCTTTTTGGTTTCGCTGAAGACTGGCCTCCTTGTTCCACTTCCATGTTTAGTTGGAGTATATATAGCTCAAGTATAGCATAGTGTTGCAGAGGAAGGTGGCTAGACGACGGGAGTATATATATATATATGTATTAAATTGTATTCATATAGCACATCTACATCTGTACAATATAAAATATACTCCATGGATTTGTTGATGTATATAACAGAGGAATATCCCCATTTTCCCTCAATCATTCTTGATGCCAGTTTGAGCGAGTTAGGTCTATAGGTCTTTGTCCAATGCACTGAGATGCGAGGCAGTGATGGGGCATCGATATCTGACCCTAGACATGGTGGGTCGCAGCGTTTCGGTCGCAGCCAGCGCGCTAGCGCAGCAGTGGCGCCGGGCGAGCCTGCTTTGTGGGCAAAGGCTGGTATGTGGTGGATGCATTTTTCTTCACAGAACATGAAGACAATCACTTTTGAAGAGCCAGTGGCTTTGGAAGGAGCCCTGGTTATTGTCAGGAGGAGGAGGAGGAGGAGGAACTGGAAGTATTTATGTAGATTTATATATAGCGATTATTTAATTTAGCTTTTTGATGGTCGATCACACCACATCCATCACGTCGTTTCTCAAACAGATGTTCTTGAACAAACCATATTCTAATATATGAAATCTATACCAGTACCCTCCAACAGGCTGTTAGTTGAGGGTTGTTGGACCCTAACAGTTCTCAATTGGTAACCTGTCGGAGGGTCCTGGTATAAATGTTTTACTTTTGATTTCTTCCTCGTTCGTGACAGATGCCTCTCGCCGGTCTGGTCCCCAGGCCCGACGCCGTGGTCCTGGCCGGCGTCACCGGGGCATGCGAGAAGGCCCGGGCCAGAAGCTCGGTCGAACAGCTCGGTGAGGATGGTTCCAAGGTTGTGTCCAAGGTTGGGAGGATGCATCCACTGAACAAATCATTTCAGCAGGAATGTTTGAGAAGATCAGTTCCTTTTGCTGCATGAAGGGTATATATATATATATAACAATTTTGTGATGTATCCCACCAAGGCTACTTAGCCACCACCTGGCAAGACCTTGATAGATGTGGGACGAACGTTCGTTCACATGTGGCGACTGGCGCGTGAGACTACGGGGGGCCAGAGATGGTTGTAGCGTGGTGGTTTCGCATCACGCACGTGTCCTACGGACCTTCCATTTCGCCCGGTGGTTTTGGGACCCGACCACAGGTGGTGAACTTGGGCACCGAAATTGCCACCAGGAAAACACCTTCAAGGGAGGGTCCAGGTAGATGGTATAATTATAGATCGACCGCTTTTGGATGCCGGCCCTGAACGGCCTACCGGTTGACAGTCCTTCACCGGTCTGAGTTCATGGTCGGTGAAAGCTCATGAAGGCTCCATGTTTTTGGAGTTTTCTACATATATATGATAGCTAATATAGACTATAGACTATTAGGTTCAATTCTTGTGGTGCAACCTCAAACTCGAGGATCAATGATCTACATACGGTCGGATCGGTCGGATGTCCAGAGAGGGGATGCAGCTCGCATGGCTCAAACCGATCCGGACACGGAACCGATGAACGGAACCGATGAACGGCCAAACATCGGCACCGCGGTCAGCTAGAAGTTCATGTTGATGGGCCCTTCAGTGCAGCAGGGATTGGGTTCTAAGCTGTTTCAGATGTATCAGATGTATGAGTCTAGTCTAGCACGTTCCTATGCCGAAGCTGGCATGTACACTTCCCTTTGAACAGCCCCTGCGCCTTCGAACGGCCGGAAGACCATGGAGGACGACGACGCGCGGGAGCTGGGGAGCGCCATGGGCTCGATGAGCTCCGATCGGCCCAGCGCGCGGTCGACCGCGTCGGTCGCCGTGGCGGCGGCCTCCGAGTCGCTTGGGCCGAGTGGACGGAGTGGAGCGGGGGCACCGACGGCAGCACCGGGATGACCCAAAGACGTGTATGAAAGAACTAAGGGATTGGGCATGGGCTCCCTGCTTTTGTAGAGTAGTTCCCCTTCAACTGGCCTGGCCGCCTGGGTGCCCATTCCAAACATGGGGACCTCAAAACGGCACGAGTTCGCAGCTGAAAGCGGGATCCACGTGGCCTGGTCATGGAACTGGGGAAGCATCAGTTCCTGCCTGTTGCGGATGAAGTTAGGCCCCACCGAACCAGCAACAAGAATATAGACAAAATCCCTTCCTTAGACCACTGCCCCATCCCAAAGCAGCCATTAGCCGGAAAAATCAACATAACAACACACAACCCCACCCAAACTGGTGTTGACCGTTACTTCCTGGTTACTCATTCTATTGTTGGCTTTCTCTTCTCCGAAACCTCGCTTGGTTCCGGATCCCTTGCAGGTCCGGATCCTCTAAGTCGGAACGCGAGAAGGTGGAGGAGTTCGCCCTGCAGCGCAACATCGAACGGCTGCGCGTCTTTTATTCCGTGCCCTGGGCAAGCGCCGGTCAAAACGGCGGGGTCCCCCGCCGCCGAGCGGTGTTGGTTTGCGGCGGGAGCGCGGCGGTGTGGGCTTCGTGCGGCGCGCGAAGCCTGCAGGTGCAGCTGTAGGCTATAGACTCCCGGGCACCCGGCCGGATGACGGCCGGGACTAGGGTCTGGCCGGACACCGGCCACCGCCACATGCTAAACACGGGCCGGCGTGTTTTTCATTGTTTTTCATGAGAGCTTCACCTACCGCTTGTCTCCACACTCGAGAGTGGCTTGAAGGACATCTACCATCTGTAACGCTCATTTCAGGATGCACCAGGATCCACCAAGAAGGTTTGCACAGGTTGCGCTTAGCCAGACCACCCCCTTCACCAGAGGCAGCAAACGAGCAAGAGTTCCGCCCAGCCTGGGTTTTGTGGCGAACCTCTCTCAGCAAAATACCTTCACGACACCAGATGGGTGACTGTCACGGCCACGCACACCACGCACACCACGCGCACCACCCACTGGCCACGGCTATCCCCCATTGTTTGTATATGCATGATCAGATCATATATGAGTGTACAGGTGCCACTGCAAGATGCTTTGCCCATTTTTCACAGGCCCAATCGGCCCGTTTTCACGCCTTGCCCATCCGGGTGAAGGGTTGTTTGGATGCTCAGCTGGCAGCGATGAGCATCACATGATCACCATTTCAACTCTTTGGCAGCCAATGTGTGGTCAGAGAGTCAGAGGCCATCGTTCTGTGCTGTGCCTGAGTCGCGTACTGTCCCAGCAGGGCTCTTTCCGGAACTTAAACCTTAATCTCTTCGCATTCTTTGTGCTTTTCATTGTCCAATGCTTTTCACCTTGCAGCTGCGTACACGTTCTCGACTTGGCACGTCCTTCTCGCTGACATTGGGATCTGTTTCGTTGCAGCTCAAGAACCGTTTCGTTTCGAGTCTCTTCTCACCACAGTAAATGAAGAACCTTCGAATCTTCCATCATCTTCCTGTGCATCAGGAGTAGATTTCGAACCATCGACGAGACCTCCCACCAAGGCCCCCCCTTGGAGAGGAAAACGCTGTTTGCAGAAGGCCAGTTTGCAGAAGCGACCCATCCCCCAGCATTTCCCGCCAGCATTTCCCGTCTCAGGTGCTGCAATTGGGCTTGGCGTTTCTAATTGCCGGCGTTGTTCTGACGATGACCACCGAGGCGTCCCCATCGGATTCGTCCTCAGGACGTCGGGGGGTGAGTCGACGGTACCGGCGATGGTCGTTCAAACATTGGGGTTTTACGGGATTGTTTCTGTCGGGACTCAGCATTCAGCGATTTGATGATATCTCGATCATTGTAAGTCCTCAAGATCCTCAAGCTTGCGCAGCCGGGTGGTTTTCACATCATTGTTTTCTCAATTGAAACTGAAATGATGGGTTTATGGGTCTGACCAAGTGCGAATTTCGAATGTTAGTCAGTGTCTTGTCTTGACATTGGAATTAAGCAGTTGGGGGGAAGGTCCCAGTGTTGAGTTGCTACCATTAAAAGGCAGCGTGGTACGGAAGGGTGGCCCCTTCCCAGTGACAGGTTCAGATTCGTTTGACAGGTGATCGGGTGGAAAATCGAGTGCCGCAAACATCATCGAAGGGATAGGCTTGGGATTTCGTGGGATTCCCCAGCTGACCGCCGCCACAAGCGGCGAAACACACCCCGAATGTACAGGTAAAGGCTTCTTTGTGGACTGCGGGCCCCGACCCGATGGTGCACGTCGGTTCCACCGTGCTTCCGCAAGACAGAACGACAGAACGACGCCCAGTTCGACTGCTGAAAACGTCCACGACGCTACGAGGTGCTGTGGCGCGTCTTGCCCGCGGGACGTTTAGTGGAGCAGATCATTTCCGGGCTCGCCGCTCTGGCGTGGTTCCTCACCGCCCTAACTGCTTCTGGGCGAGAATGGGGGGAAAGAAGTGAGCCCGAGTGACGCACTCGCAGAGGATCGCAGGACACTTCTTAAAGTCTTATCCCCAAAAAGGCCAACAGCTGGAAGTGCTGGGGGTTAGTCTACCTAGCCAGGTCAGTGGATATCCTTGAACCTTTTTGGGAGATTGAATGGTTTCCCCACGACATATGAACAGGAGGGCAGATGCCAATCACTCAATTCGTCGTGGAAGTTTGATCCTGGAGTCGTGCCAAACGTCAGCGCGTTTTACGCGCGTTGTGATTCCAAACAAACCTCCAGTCAACTGTCAACGAGACTTGGGATGAAGCCACTAAGCCAGTGGTGTGGGACCCTTTGGACAAGGGGTTGACACACACACACACACATGCACAAACACACACACACCATCTGTGAATACACAGGCCCTATATGCCGAATTCGCATGAATTCGCACCCTTCGGACGCATTCGCACCCGAACGCGACGCACCCTGCGCGCAATCTGGCCGAACGAACCGCGACGCACGAACAGGCGGCAGTGGTGTCCACATGCCCCTTTGATGAGCTCCAATTCGACTCCTTTGTCGCCTCGCGGCCGCAGCTGTGCGTGGGCTTGGGCATGCTGCCCCTCCTCACTGGAGGGCTCCGAGCAGTGGAGCTTCCGTTCCCCAGGCCGATTTTCCATCACTTTCCTGTGTTTTCATGGCGCAAGTAGAGTGAGATGACAAGGGGGGACATTGCATATTTCGTCTCAGTCACCTTGTTCCTTTCGTAGCCAGTGCAGATGTCTCATCACCGCGTTGCAATCTGGACCAAGCTTTGTCGCGTTGGTTGTCAGCCTGACAGGTGGATCTCCATCATTTGTGCACTCCTCATGTTCGCAGAAGGCTGCCTCCGCTGCCCATGCTGCCACTGGGGGCCTCGTTTGCGCCGGCAGCTCATGCTCTTTGTCGCAAGAGAGGGCTGTCGCAAGAGAGGGCTGTCGCAAGAGAGGGCTCAATAGTTTGAAGCAATCAATAGTTTGTCGCTATTAAGTTGGAGGCCATCGCTAATTAGGTTGGAGGGAATCGCTAGAGGGGCTCAATAGTTTGAAGCAATCAATTATTGTCGAACAATGTCGAACATCAATGAACATCATAGGTTAGAACATGTGAGAACATCAGAAGTCCAAGTCCATTCAATCACAGACGCATAGAAAAAATTGGAAAACCAATGGAAAAACACGTGCTAGGTATTAGCACCTGCCATTTTGCAGAAATTGGGATGCCCACAAGCTACAGGTTGCCACTAACAGCCATCATTGGCATATAGGTTTCTGAGAGCTCACCTGGAAGGCTACACTCGGCCATACTGAATCTCAGCGTCCATTTGGACCACCCCTCAAGTCAGTGGATGTTTTTTGTTGAAGAACCGACACGCAGGTTCTCCACACTGATGGAGTTCTGGTATTTGGATGTGGTTCTTTCCTCCACCGTGAATGAGCTCGCCCATGGGGCGGCCTCTCTTTGGACCTCCCTTTGGCTAGCTTTGCATTGTGCATTTTGCATCCTCTATGGCATCTACTTGCGCTGCTTGCGATCCAACAGCGGCTCAGATTGCAAGACTGTCGCTGTCGCGAGATGCCAGGGGAAACACCGAGCATGGTTTGGGAGGAGCTCCTGAGGGGGCTGTCGTATATCACTTGATGTAGAGTCACTCCGCACTGTAGGAAGCTCCAGCCCCGCTTGAACGAAGGACGGTGCTAAGCTGGATGTTGGACGAAAGCCCCAGAAGTATGTTCCGCCGGTGATCTTTGCAAACGCACAAAACAGTTATCCCGGCAAGCGACCCCAAACAGTGTGTAAGGTCTAGAGGTGTAGCAGGAGAAAGTCTAGAGACCTACTGTTGGGGTCCAGAGGTGATGGTGGTGATGAAGGTGGAGATCGTGGTGATGGTGGCGGTGAGTGAGAGAGTGAGAGTGAGGGAGAGAGTGAGAGAGTGTGAGTGTGAGCGAGAGTGAGAGAGAGAGAGAGTGTGACTGAGTGAGAGAGTGAGAGTGAGAGAGTGAAAGGGTGAGAGAGTGAGAGTGAAAATGAGTGTGACGGTGACTGTGAGTGAGAGTGAGTGTGAGTGAGAGGGGGGGTGAGAGTGAGAGAGTGAGAGAGTGAGAGTGTGAGTGTGAGCGAGAGAGAGAGAGAG